TTCCTGTAATTCTGCAATTCGCCAAATGGTTTTTATTTTTATTTATCAAATAATATTATAATAAATTATACGTTTTAACCACTTGGTGGAATTGGCAGACGTTCCCTTAGGGATCATGCGCTGTGGTAGCGCGTCCAAGCATTCTCGTGTATAAATACGCAGATATAATTCATATAGGTTATTTTGAAGTAATATTTTATACCGATATACAATGGTTACACTTAAAACTAATCGTGGTATTGATATATTTAGACTGCTGACTGACTCTATTGAACAATGGCTAGGAAAACTAACTTTATCGCGCCCGAGAGCCCTCTAGTGGTCGGGAGCATTTCCGTTGTGTTGCGGCTTTATTTCGTTGTGTTGTGGCTCATTTTCCGTTGTGTTGTGGATTTTCCATTGTGTTGTGGCTCATTTTCCGTTGTGTTGTGGATTTTCCGTTGTGTTGTGGCTCATTTTCCGTTGTGTTGTGGCTCATTTTCCGTTGTGTTGTGGATTTTCCATTGTGTTGTGGCTCATTTTCCGTTGTGTTGTGGATTTTCCGTTGTGTTGTGGCTCATTTTCCGTTGTGTTGTGGATTTTCCGTTGTGTTGTGGCTCATTTTCCGTTGTGTTGTGGATTCATTTCGTTGTGTTGTGAACTTATGTTTGCTTTTTAAATGTCGTTGTGTTGTGCACTACTGGGCCACCGTAGTCAGCAGACTTAAGCTCATGGAGTATATCAGAAATTGAATAGGTATCTGAATACTGTATGTATCCAGTGTGTATCTGTCATGTTTTGGTTTGTTCATGTCATGTTCCATGTCTGTCATGTGATTCCCTGATTGTCATGTGATCCTGCCATGTGTCTTGTCATTGTTCACAGGTGTCCCTTGTCTTGTCATTAGTCTGTGTATTTAAGCCCTAATGTTTGCCATGTGTCTTTGTCAAGTTTTGTTTCACTGTTACCACTGTTGGTAAGCGTCATTTTCATGTTTATGTTTTTGAGTTCATGCCATGCCACGCTTTTGTTTTGAGTTCATGCCACGGCTTGTTTTTGTTTCATGTTTACTTTTGTTTGTAATAAACTGCACTTGGGTTCTCATCTACACTTGCCTCCAGTGGATCCATTACAGTATCCAAAGGAAATAAAACTAGCCCATTTTTTCTTCCCATCCAACCACAGTTGACAGCTGCAGGACAGCTATTTTTGGAGCTTGCTTTTCACTCACTTTCCAACTCAGCTACTCATTTTTTTAATTACCAGCTATTCAGAACTAGCCAAAACAAACAAACAAACAAACAAACAAAAAGTATCAGAAATAATCCAGATTATCAAGATCACTGCTTAGATTTATATACACTCACCGGCCACTTTATTAGGTACACCTGTCCAACTGCTCGTTAACACTTAATTTCTAAGCAGCCAATCACATGGCGGCAACTCAGTGCATTTAGGCATGTAGACATGGTCAAGACAATCTCCTGCAGTTCAAACCGAGCATCAGTATGGGGAAGAAAGTTGATTTGAGTGACTTTGAACGTGGCATGATTGTTGGTGCCAGAAGGGCTGGTCTGAGTATTTCAGAAACTGCTAATCTACTGGGATTTTCACGCACAACCATCTCTAGGGTTTACAGAGAATGGTCCGAAAAAGAAAAAAACATCCAGTGAGCGGCAGTTCTGTGGGCGGAAATGCCTTGTTGATGCCAGAGGTCAGAGGAGAATGGCCAGACTGGTTCGAGCTGATAGAAGGGCAACAGTGACTGAAATAACCACTCGTTACAACCGAGGTATGCAGCAAAGCATTTGTGAAGCCACAACACGCACAACCTTGAGGCGGATGGGCTACAACAGCAGAAGACTCCACCGGGTACCACTCATCTCCACTACAAATAGGAAAAAGAGGCTACAATTTGCAAGAGCTCACCAAAATTGAACAGTTGAAGACTGGAAAAATGTTGCCTGGTCTGATGAGTCTCGATTTCTGTTGAGACATTCAGATGTTAGAGTCAGAATTTGGCGTAAACAGAATGAGAACATGGAACCATCATGCCTTGTTACCACTGTGCAGGCTGGTGGTGGTGGTGTAATGGTGTGGGGGATGTTTTCCTGGCACACTTTAGGCCCCTTAGTGCCAATTGGGCATCGTTTAAATGCCACGGCCTACCTGAGCATTGTTTCTGACCATGTCCATCCCTTTATGGCCACCATGTACCCATCCTCTGATGGCTACTTCCACCATGTCACAAAGCTCTAATCATTTCAAATTGGTTTCTTGAACATGACAATGAGTTCACTGTACTAAAATGGCCTCCACAGTCACCAGATCTCAACCCAATAGAGCATCTTTGGGATGTGGTGGAACGGGAGATTCGCATCATGGATGTGCAGCCGACAAATCTGCGGCAACTGTGTGATGCCATCATGTCAATATGGACCAAACTCCCTGAGGAATGCTTCCAGCACCTTGTTGAATCTATGCCACGAAGAATTGAGGCAGTTCTGAAGGCAAAAGGGGGTCCAACCCGTTGCTAGCATGGGGTACCTAATAAAGTGGCCGGTGAGTGTATATATATTTATTATTATATCTGATTCTGAATCATTAGGTATTTTCAAAACACACTATCAATTCAATCCAATATCCGATTCAGAAAGTTCTGTAATATGATCCGTTATTTTTTTATCTGATTGACAAGCTAGTCAGAATCAAATGTTTACATGCTTAAATTTTTCATATTAATCAGATTAATTCAGGTCTACACCACCCCTTCCAATCTGAATGAAGGCTTTTCAGTCATATTGAGGCATCAACCAGATTACTAAATTGATCGTTTGATTGCATTTAAACAGATCTTGAAAGGCTTTTGGTTTTTTGGCAGTTGATATGTATTACCCACCATTGCTTATTTGGTGTGTTGGCGAGTGTTAATTTCAAACCCTGTTTGTAGGGGGGTTTCCAGGTTTTTCGGGGTCGACGCTGACTCCCATCATAGACTCAACTCCATTTACTTTACTTCAAAACAGGGTAGGGAATAATACAAGATTGCAGTTGTAATTACAGTAATATGTATTTTCCCTGACGCAAAGCCTTAAATTTCCCTTATTAAAACAACACATTTTTAGCTTCACTGTCCTTAGTCAAATTCACCAATGACATTACCTTGAAATGATGAGTAGCCTATCAACGTCATTACCTAGCTGTTGCAGAAATAATAGGCTTATACATACATAAAAAAAAATAAAAAAAATAGCATAATGTATGTTTGATATGATATTTGTATGATACTTGTGATATTTGTATGATTTATATGATAATTGATATGTTTATTCTTGATGTGGATTTTAATGATTTACCTATGGTTGGTTTAATGAACATAAATGACCAAAAACCCCAAATTGCATTAATTTAACATCAATTAATAAAGTTATTTATTAAATAAGCTAAATGTAGGGTAAAACTATGTGACAAAGTTGTTTCTGCAACAGCTCCAGCTCTCTGACACACGATGTAATACGTCAGTGTCTAAATACCTCGCTTAATTGTTCACTCCTTGCTGATAGTGCACACAACTGCCATATTCTATATAGGGATTAGAGAATCAGTGAACAAAGCCGCGTTTCCACCGAAATTTCCTGGAACAATTTGTCCCAGGAAATTTTTTCCCAAGCACCCCCCACCCCAAAGTCCCTAGTTCCTAGGAAAGTTCCTGCGGTGGAAACGCGGCTCAAGTGAGCGACTTCGGACACAGCAACAGAGTCAACGACGATCCTCTAGGGCTATTCAGCCTCTTTTTGACTCCCCATCACTACCCGTTTGTAACTGTATAATTCAAAGCGACGTTCACTGTTCAGCACTTCATGCCCACACTAGTGCTGATTGCACACATCATTCTACTACACAAAACCCTGTGACAGTACATCACCGAAATGTTGACTTAGGGGAGGGTCGCAAGGGCTGAGGGTATCATTTGAGAGGTGCGATAGGACTTGATTATATATCTTTGTATTGCGATCAGCGTAATTAAATAAACTTGCTCCTGCCACCCTTCATTTAGGACTCCTTATAGATTAAAGACACTATTCTTAGATGACTTGGAGTGACTAACAGTTCGACAACTGCAGGCCACCGCAGGCAACCATGAGTTATCAGTGTCACCCTAAAGTGAACTCTTATCCACAGAGATCTATGAACTGGTATCTCTCTTAATTCTAGCCATGCTAATGGCTCATTAATATGAGAGTCATGGGGCTGTCAAAGACATTGCGCAGCACAGAGCTAAAGGACACTAATCCCCATTGATTAGAGTTCTCAGATCAAAGGCTCCCAGCGCTGTCACTTCACCTCTATTCTCCCCTACCCACTCGCGCCGCAATTAGGAGCCCTCTCAGCGTTTCATTAAGATGTTAAAAATACCAAGTCGCCTCCCCTCAAGGGACCCAGTCACAGAGACACATACCGAAATCCTCATTTACTATTGTGAGAAACAAGCCGTGGCATCTCCCAGAACATTTCAATCATTTGGAAGCCTCACTCGTGCCTGCAACTCACAAAAGCAAATGCTGAGTCCTCATAGCCCTGGACTCTGCATACAATGGTTGATAATGAGCTCATGGTCCACCAGGGATTAAAAAAAAAGTACATTTAATTAGCACACAAGTTTTTCTTGATTTTAGCACATAGACTACTCAAAAAGAATGAACGTAAAAAAAAAAAAATACAGGCTTTAAGTAAGGATTGGAAATTCACAGGGCATACCTTGACATGTAAGTGAAAACGGTCAATTAAAAAAAAAAAACAATTGTAAATACACCTTTGATACAGATAAGAAGAGAGAGAGGACATTATAGGAAATTGTGTTTAAATTGGCATGTCAAAAGACTCACAGACCTTACCTTATTTTTAAATCAGTGAATTATCACACACGCGCACGCACACACAACTATGTAGTATGTGTACTGAAAAAATACAGCTGGAAGAGATATATTACAACTGTTCTCACAAACTGAGTCTTATCTTACCTTAAGTGCCAGTGCTTATGCTCTTCCTGTCTCTCCAGAAGGATAACCTGTGCCTGGAAAAAAGAGGAAGTGCATCAATGAGTTGAGCTATACATAATATGCATTCATGCACACTCCCAGCAGGCATTCCTAAATTTACTTGTGCACATAAAACACAGCCCTGAAACAATTACATACTATGGCAACGTTTTTTTTTTTTTTTTTTTTTAATAGGGTTCTGCAGACCCCCAAGAATTCATTTCAAATCTCAGAACCCCTGAACTGTGAACAAATAAATAATATATTATTTAATAATATAAAATAAATAATAGTAACACATCCTCATGCCAGTACATGGCGGAAAGTGAAATCTTTATGAATGAGTCATTGAATCATACACTGATTAATTCAGGGCTGAAACACCACAACTGAGGAGGGACAAGTCAATAATCATGACCAAATTGTCTACCTTCAATATTAGAAATTCTTGATTTCCCAGAGCAGGTCACAATTAACAAAGCTTACTGGCGATATAAAACATATCATCATCCAACATAATGGTAAATAGGCTTTCCAAATAATGTAAATAAAATGTACATAGTATATTAGTAGTAAATTTATCTCTCTCACACATTTCACGCATTGTCCTGCAAAATCCCATCTACAGTATGTCCTGCAACAGAGCAATAACCAGGTGGTCACCCTGGTTTTTACTGGCGTGAGGGTGGGACAATAACCTCTCCACTCCTGCAGCAACCTGTGACTCACAGATCAATAGCAAACGACAACAATCCAATCAATTCCCAATGGACAAAATCAAGTCCCGCCCTCCATTTTTACTTGTTCAAGAAGCCATTTCACTTGGATACACGCCACCAAAGGGAAGTAAAGACTATCACACTTAAAGACTATCAAGACTTAAAGGTTTCATGCACACTTTAATGGTGTAAGAGTGCAATAAGTTGTAAGTAGATAAACATTTAAAATTTGACAACTGTTTTGTGAAAGAAACGATACAGTGATGCTGGACCGAACTTAATTGAAATCTGAACTGAAATTTCAGCATTTTAAATGGAGAATATCTTATCTTTTAGGATAAGCAATTCATGTAATTTATAATTATAAACAACGAAAGGGCAGTTTTTGACATGTTACGCATAATTATGTGAAATATTTTAAAAATATTATTTGCAGATAGTTAAAATGCATTTTAACTTCACAATGAATTAAATAAAAATACATTTAAAAGATTATTTTTCTGTTTTCTTTCTTTTTCTGTATTCCCTTAAATCTTGCGTATTATATTTTCATTATAGCGGAGCAAATCCACACAAAAACTACACAAACTGTCAAAATGTGTCTAAAATGTAAGTTACTCAAAATGAACCTGTTTATTAAACTGTTGTATACAAAGGAGTAGGTTTGATTTTGACTTTGAGGGCATTAAAGCATTTTTGGGATTTATAATAGATTTTAATTGCAATTTCATGTCATCTAAAGCCTTTATTTATAGATATAGGTATAACTCCCAACTCATAACATTATCCTCACTACACTTCACTTCATTATGCAACCAACAGCATTACAATTTAGCTTTCTGTGATAAAATATCTACCAAGCGTTATTCAGGGATTGACATTAAGGTTTTTAGCTTAAATTGACTACAATTAATCAGTTCTGTAATGTTTTAAGTCAATGGTAATTAATGATGACAAGGAGGCAGTTTAACAGAGACTTAACTTTATTTTTATCAGAGTACACAGGCCTACATAATGTATGTAGAGCACTTGTTTAAACACTTACTTTATATTCTCTGTTAATGGATTAAATGCATGCCCTTGAAAGAGCGCATTCAGTTTTCTAGTGTGATTATTTATTTCGACTTCTCAGGTAATGTCAATGGTATGACCCATTTAAGTTGCAAAATTACAACAACAGTGGTTGCATTTAAATATATTTTAATTGTTTGATCAAAATTATTGCCTGGGACAATTCAGTTGTCGCTGGATATTGGTAGGGAGACGTCTCTAGTGTCACAATCACGTTAGTTTGGACTCGTTATGTTTCATCATCGTTTGCCTTCGTCACTCATTTGTTGTCACGGACACTAATTATGTTCAGCTGTGCACTCATCAATTAGTATCATTATCACCTGTATGTTCAGTTCTGTCTGTATCCGCTGTCGTCTATTGCGGAAGTGTTGTATGTTGCTCTGTTCCCGTTAGAGTTACCCGCATTGGATTTATTAAATATTGCCTTATTTCATTCATCATCTTCTTCGTGTGTTTATACAACCAGCCCCGAGACATCTAGCATCCCTACTAAATTCTACGCCTTTGGTTGTATAGGATAGCAGCCTTTTTACTGTTTGTATCAGAAGTTATTTTCTCATCAGTATGGCTACAATCTTTGTATTTCTTCCTTAGGGAGAGATGTTGTTCACCAAAATAAAGCCAATTTATTTCTGCCTTTGCTTGTCAGCAGTGAGGTAGAACAAATGTGAAAGATTATAGTATTTAATTTTCTTTCTGACCGTAGCATGATGTCATTACAGGGATGGCTTTAGGGTAGACTGAGGCTTAACACTGTTCTGGAGAGATTTAAATTAAGTGCATACTTCCTATAAGACAAGACAATATGCTTATGTGGATAGTGATAGGAGCTTTCTGAATGAGTAAACCACAGAGCACATTTCCCCTAAGGACACATACCATGTCTGAATTGATTTGAATATTTAGTCCACAAAAGCAAACAATGTTCAGGATTTGTGTAATGTTAAAAAAAAATGAAATAATTAAAAAAATAATGCTGTGTCTCTTCCCTCAGAGGTAGGTAAAACCACTGAGGCATTTCGGGAAGAGAAAGTAAGCAAACTTTTAGAATGTAAATCATTTCCCAGAGAGCAGAGGATGCAGGAGGTTGACCAAACAAAAATAGTGCTGTGTAGGCACAAAAAAATGGATCCACAAAATGAATACATAAGAGTATGCACAAAACAAATATGCTCTATCCATTCAATGGTACGCCAAACAATCTATCCCAACCAACAATGTTCCGGCTCTGAAAGACGCCGGTCCTCAATTTCTTGCTCGCCTTCAATCACTTCTTACAATCTGTGAAGTGCTACAATCAACCATGTGGCCAGTTCGCTTGCAAGTAGCTTTTCGATTCTTTTTCTCTTGAAAAAGAAATAAAAAAAATTCATGAGAAACCAATAGAACTTTAGTTTCCACTTTTTGCCATCCACACTTTTCCTTCACTGTTTGAACAGGATAACCACTGTACAATTTCTCTAGTTTTCCCATATGATTCATGGGCCTTCAGCATAAACATGACAGAAGTCCTGTGCCACACATCCAGTCCCTGTGCTGGCAGTTACAGTATGTCAGTGAGGCATCAGAGAGAGGGATCACCATGGCACCAGTTCTCTGTAATTTGTTATCTTTCGGAGAACCCATTTCCGATGTGTTGATACAGCAGATAGATTCCCATACCGTAACCATTTATCACCTGTCTGTCACTGGAAACTGTTGTCACTTTTTTTTTTCTGCAGGGGAAAAAATCAGCTTTGAGAAATGTTTTTTTCTATGGAAGGGTTAGAGTCATGTGGGAAGTTATAACCAAGTTGAACTTGGTTCATACAATTTAGAGATTTCAGTAAATACTGTACGTTTGTTAGGTTTATAGTATATTAATATTGAGTACTGACAAGGGATGCATGATGATATCGGGACAACATCGGTATCTGCCGAATAAAAGCTTAAAATAACCATCATCGGCATCGGCCGATATGAATATTTCTGCCGATGAGCCTTGCCGATAGGGTGGCGTAGCCTATATGCGCACGTGACGACCGCGAATGAAGCATGAGCGCCAGCAACTTAAACTTCCAACTAGGGGTGTGCGTCTCAAGGTTTTTGATCGTGGACGATTAAAATGTCTCCACGATCTGCTTTTGAAGAAAAATCATAGTATCATGCATTCTATCAGTTCAATTCTGCCGCCTTCATCTCAACATACTGTACAACGCGACATACATTCATATCACATGTAAAAGCAGAGGTAGAGTTACACTCACAGGACACCGCAATTCACAAAAGTTCATTATTTGCATGTGCGTCAAAGTCTTGCTAGGTAAACATATCATTCACGTGCTGATGCGCTGTTCTAACATCCGCTTTTCTGAGCGCATTACACCCGACGCTCACAGGAACTAAAAGCCTGTCACAGCGCCTGCATACTGGACTAATCTTTCGAGTCTTATTGCGCTGATACTGTCAAATACACACAAGGTTTACATAAACAAAGTTGGTTATGTCTAAAGTGAAAGCAAACAGAGAAAATCTGCTTGTCAAATGCGTGTATATTAGACGTGTCGCGTGCAGTTCTTAAAGAGACAGTAATAATATGCTGGATGCACAGGCTCAACTGCGGCACAAAGAGCTTGTGGGAGTGGTGGCCCGAGGCAGAGCAGGCTTGGGGATGTTTCCAACACCTCCTCGACATAAAGAGTTGAAGGGGAAGGAGAAGCGCAGCCGAATTTATGAAGAGGTCAGAGCTACTGTGGAGGAAGGAAGGACGAGCAGAGCTGCTGGAATGGGGCAACAGGGGGCCTGGAGCAGGTGGGAGCAGGCCATGGACCGCAAGGTCACCTGGACGGAGCTCTGGCAAAGCGAGCCGCACCGCATAACCTTCCTGATTCGGGCAGTGTACGATGTCCTGCCTAGCCCAGCAAACCTCTGTACGTGGGGGAAAGCAGACACACCAACTTGCCACTTGTGCCCAGCTCGTGGAACGCTGGAGCACATTTTGAGCTCCTGCCCAACAGCGCTCGGCCAGGGTCGTTATACTTGGCGTCACAACCAGGTGCTGAAAGCTATTGCAGACACCATCAGCAAAGAGATCAGCAAAGGCGGCCGAGGCAGCAACACCACTCGCTCAATCGTATTTGTTAGGGCAGGAGAACAGCCACAAGCAGGGAGGAAGGCACCAGCAGGAATTCTGGCATCAGCCAAGGACTGGAAACTCTCGGTGGATTTGGAGAAGCAGCTGAAATTCCCCCAGCACATCGTCA